TGCAGTAACCAAGATAAAACGTCTCCAATTCGCACAGGAACACAAGGATTGGACAGTTGAGCACTGGAAAAAAGTCATGTGGACCAATTAATCACATTTCCAGTTGCATCATGCAGATGGCAGAGTGAGAATTTGGCGGAAATAGCATGAAAGCATGCACCTCACATGCATGAGTACAACCCTTCAAGCTGGTGGGGTCAGTGTTATGGTTTGGGGCATGTTTTACTGGCATGATTTTGGCCCTTTAATTTGTGTGCAACAATATCTGAAAAGCACAACATACCTAAATATCATTGCTGATCAAGTTCATCCTGTCATGTTGATGGCATATCCCAATGGAGATGGCTTCTTCCAGCAAGACAATGTGCCATGCCACGGTGCTTGTATTGTGCAGGAGTGATTTCAAGAACATGAGGGAGACTTTATCTTGCTTAGGTGTCCCCCACAATCACCAGATCTCAATCTAATTGAACATTTATGGGACGAAGTTAAAAGAGCCATCAGGCAGCTGGTTCCACAACCATCAAATCTCACAGAACTGGACAGTGCTATTCATCAGGCATGGTGTCAGATTCCTCGCATCACCTTTCAACATCTCGTGGACTCAATGCCAAAAAGAATTGCTGCAGTATTGAAGGCCCAACGAAGTACTGATGGGGTGGTCATAATAATCTGGCCGGTCATAATAATCTGGCCACTCAGAGAGTATGTGTGTGTGTGTGTGTGTAATTTATCTTTTATTTTTTGTTAATCCTCACCCAAGGATATTTTCCTATTGATCTTTGTACGTGCCCTTGACCCTCTAGCAACTTCAGCACAAAATTATAGCTAATTTGCCTTCAAATGTCAGGTGGTCATAATAATCTGGCCACTCAGTGTAGAGCGAGGGTTGCAATCTTTTTGCTGGTGGAGCGTTTTGCCTTCAATTTACATAAAATGCAACACCTGTGAAGTACAATAAAACCAAGTACTATGAAACAAAGTGTGCCTGTACTTTTGCCTGAAAAGTGTTCTCCTATTTGTCTACCTAGGAAACTTCTCAATATATAAATCAGTTGTGCTGTTTTAAATCAGGCCCCTGTGGCATAGGCATCTGTGGTTACATGAGTGGACTCTAGTCAGAGACCTGGGTTCCATCCTTCCTCTCCTAATGATACTTGCTATGTGATCTTGGTCAGCTGATCTCACTTCTCTGAGCCTCAGTTTTCTTACCTGTAAAATGGGGTATCCTGATGTGATAATGTGTATGGGATCTTTATATGGTGTCCGGCACACAGCAAGTAAGCAGTACATGGTATCTGCTACTATTCGTCACGTCAGTGGTTTTGACCCTGATCTGCACATTAGAATCACCTGCAGAACCTTTAAAACATGACTTAATAGGTCTGGAGTGATGCTCCCAGCAAGGTATTTTTTAAAAGTTGCCCCAGTGATTGAGAACTGTTACACCAGCAGTTCTACAATATGCCTTAGAGCAGCAGAACCAGCATCTCCTGGGAACTTGTTAGAAGCTCAAATTCAAGCCCTTCCCCCCAGCCATAGGGAATGAGAAATTCTGGGAGTGGCCCCAGCAATCCAGGTTTTAGCAAGCCTTGCAGGAGATTTTGATGCATGCTCAAGTCTGTGAACCACTTCACTAGATTGTTAGCTAAGTGAAGGCATGAACTAGCTGTTTTTGTCTTGTTCCGTGCCCTATTCCTAGGACTTACCACTGTGCATATGCAAATTCAGTTTATTTCAATTCAATTCAATTTTCTGTGAAGGCACTGTGCCTTGGCCAGTCCTTGCCTCTCAGCTTGCTTACTGACTCCCAGACTTGATTCTTTCTTTCTGCTCTCACTGCCCCATAAGCACACCTCTACCTCCGGTTGTAATCTTTATATATGTTTTTATGTGTCTATGTCCTCCACTCAACTGAACAGCCTTTACTCATTTTCTTAGGAGTTGCTCTAATGCAGTTGCATTGCTGGACCTGGTTCTGTATTCGAAAGCAATGGACTATGTTTCCTGATGTAAAATGATGGGGGCGGAGAGTCTGGTGTGTCAGTCAAGGTTTGATCAGGGAAGCAGAACAACACTATGAATCTTAGGGTATAAGGATTTAACTTAGGAATTAGACCTTACACCGTTGTGGGAGGAGCTAGGAAAGTAAGATCCAGGGTAAAGAAGTAGGAGGATCAAAGTTACTAATCAGCCTTCCCCAGGCATTGGTGCTGTAGGACAAATCAGAGATTTTAAAGAAATCTGGACAAGCACATCCAGCTCCAGAGGAACTGGGAGGGGAGTTAGTGAAGAAACCCACAGAAGGCTGTTGCCCTAGAGCGCCTCCTGTGGCTGTAGGTCAACAGGGGCAGCGGTGGGGGAGAGAGCTACTCTCCAAATAAGGAAGGATGAGGCCAGGCCTGAGCTCTTGCCTCTGAGTCCTCACTCACTGCATCTCACTGTGTGACTTTCTAAGAGTCATGGCTCTGCTTCTTTCCATCTTCTTGTTCACACGCAAATGTCTTCTTTGAACAAAGCTAACCCAGAACGATACAGAAAAGAGGCTTCTTGGACACAATTCCTGTTTAGCTAAGTTGACCAAAGCTCCCAGTTGGTAAATATTACTTAGGTAAAAAAGCTGGTACTTTTATTTTTTCCAAGAGCTACTATTTTATCCGGTTTTAATAATAGTGGTATTTCCACACACTCAGACATGCCATATAGAGAAGACAGGAGACAGAAAAGCTGCCATAATAAAGATCAGGCTTCTAATTCATTAGTCAAATAGAAGTTAAGATTACTTTCAGAAAATAATTTCTCTCCTTTCTGTTCTTTTTGATGGGAGGAGTTCTGTAATTGCAGTTTTCTCACTTGTTTTTCACAAGCTTAGTCCATGAGTATCTAATGGTACTTCCCTGTTAATATGGCAGGTGCCACAGATATTGCAGTAAATGAAATAATTTGAGGTGGGTCCTAGTAGTGTTTTTACATGCATTTGCATAATGATTTCATATGCTTATTCAGTTGTTGAAATATCTTAAATTATGTGCATTTGGGATCAGTCTGGATTTTAGAGTTACTAGGAAGGACAGATCCGCTTCCAGTCTCCTTGTTTGTGTTAATGGCATTACTATTCCATTAGGCACCTAGACTGGAAAACGTTTGTCATCTTTAACTTATTCCTGTCCTTCACTTCTCATATTCAGTAAATAATTTGTTTATAAGTCTTTGAAAAAGTAACATAGTTATGTTCCAGTAATGCAACTATAGCTACCCTTTACTGAATGGTAGCCATGTGCTAAGCATTATGGCAGTTAAGGAATTATCTCTTTTAAGTCTCACCAGACATCTATGATGTGAGCATATAATTAACCTAATATTTCAGATGAGGACACAGTGATGTTGATAACTCAAGTAAATTTCCAGCTTTTGGATGCAGGCTGCCTAATAGCCAATGCCAGTGCTTGACTCTGTCATAGTTTACCCTGAGCAGTATTCAGAACAGCATCAGACACAATAAGATATTCAATAAGGGTTTTTGTATTGAGATAATGATCATCTCAGATTCAGAAATGTGTTTTTGTAATGCCGACATTGATAATAATACCTCATGGTAACTTGGTGTAATGAAGTTCAAAAGGCCTGAGTATGAATGTTAGCTCTGTCATGTAGTAACTGTGTGTCCCTGAGCAGGGCACTGGGAGCTAGTTTCCTCATTGTAAATGAAAGGTGGTCATGGGAACCTGAGAGTTGTTGTGAGGACTAAGTCACACACCAAACAGAAACTGTCTACCATGGTAAATGGCTCCAATAGGCACTCAGTAAATACCTATTAGAGAAGATTAAATGTATCTTATCACTTTTTATTCAATTGGATTTCTATTTTTACCATTATTTCAACCAGAAAAATAATTTTAAATTTTCTTTAAACTTCTTTGAGGTTGATATTTTTTGCTAGTGAAAAGTTGGTTGGCATCCTATTAACAAAGAATTTTTTTTGTTTTCTTTTTTGATAATTATCTTGATCCTAAAAAAAATAAATAAATAACAAAACAAGACAAATCACTCTTAATGTTGGGCTGGCAATTAGGAGAGAGAGAGGAAAAAACAGGAGAGAGGAAGAAGAAGGGAAGGTAGAGAGATTCCTTAGATTGCTGATGGAAACATCACCCACAAACCCTTGATTTAGAGCCCATGATGAGGTCCTGGTGGTAGGGAAGGCCCTCTTAAGGGATCCTCGCCTGTTCCAGAGTTGCACTATGAGTCTCCACGGTAGAACGTGGTCTCTCATCAACTGGACTTTCCTGCAGGATGGGTGTGGCTGAAAGCAGACTACTGTGAATTAACCAGGAGTGTGAACATTAAGATCAAACTTTATTTCACCCAGAAACAGAATGATAAAATGGCATTCTTCTCTATTGACACTATCCCATCTTCTTGTCCTTCCATTCATGGCTGCTGACAGGTTGCTGGGGCTATTGTCCCAGGCATGGAGATTCTGCCCACTGGTCAAGAGACCTCACTCTCAGATGTTGGCTCTGCCCCTGCCTCCCGAGGTCGGCCCTTGTACACGCAGGGCCTTAGTTGCTTCTGAAAGTACAGTAAAATTCTGTTAATATGATGTTATCATTCAACAAGAGACAGAGTGAAGCAACCAGTTGACAAGATGAGGTGTTCCTGACATCATTGGTTCTTTATTGAAAAGTACAGATAATATTTGAAATGGAATAAAAACTCAGAGGCTCAAATGCATCCGATAACTTGAAGTAGCAGTGACACATGCACAAGTGACTATAGCTGTTTAAAGCCCTATCCTGTTTCACTAGCCAGAACACAGCAAGGATTATGAAATGCATGCTTCCCTCACATTAGAAGCAATTGAAGACAATCATATTGTTCTTTTTTTGTAAAAATCAGCGCTCTTCAATGTCGTAGCAAAAGATGATTTGATAATAAGTTGTGGCTAGAGAGGCATTTCCTCATAAAATTTCTGAATAAATTTTCTGTCACATCTTATGATATTCCCTTCTCAATTATAAAAAAAGATTTCCTTCTATGTCACTACTCCTGCTTTCCATTGTTATCATTAAACTCAGAGCTGCTAAAAACTGAAGATTGCTCATTCTAGCCTCAACAGCAAATAAACAAACAGAAAACTCCTATTTCAAAGCCTTGTTGCAAAGAGTAGTTTATGAGTAAATAGAATTTGCTGACTTCTGAGAAACACTCTGACTCAGAAAGAGAATTATCAGAATAGCTTTGTGAGGTGGGAGTAGTTATTTGATATGATTAGCCTGTTTTGGAAACAGAAAATCAATTAGTTTACTTCCTTCTGTCCCCACTTTGGCCAGTCTGTCTTTCTTGTTGTCCCTTTTTGACCTCTGGTAGCTTTTATTATTATTTTTGCCCTATTAAGAAGTTCAACATACGGTCTCTTGACTTTTCTTATTTTCACATGTTTTCAGGGACCAGATGCCACAGTTTATTCAGAATGGCAAGAATCTTTGTATGAAAGTCGATGACATCCACTCTAAGGTACATATTTGTTATTAGAAAAGCAAGTTGCAGTAGGCCACAAGGCACATTTGTTTGTCCATTTTCTGTGTTAGTTAAGAAAACTCATGAGGAAGACTCAGAAAGGATGTAGAATCCTGCACACAGTTTTGTGTTGTCCATAGAAATTGAATGTGTCCCCATTGGGAGTCTCACCACTTCTCTCTAGGCTGTTTAGAAACTTCATGGTTTTTGGTGCATTATATCAGGGTATGTGGACAATGGTGAAAGGGGATGGTGAATTATTAAAGAAACACCCATGGCTGCATACATTAATATAAAGCATCAGGGAGATCGAAATCATGAAATTCTTTTGTTTCCACAGTTGGATTCATTCCATTAACTGGCTTCCAGGGGCGTCCAGGACACTTGCAGGAAGTTGTTTCTGGGAAATCAGTTATCAGGTTAAATGAAAGGCTATTGGGCTCTATCTGGATTTCAGGGATCCAAGAATCATCATTCTCTGTGGGAGTTGGTGGTGTATTAGTCATCATAGCTGTAATGAGATCTAAGTCCTGAAATTCAGGAAAGGCAACTTCTAAACCTGACGGGGCTATGGAGGGGAGGGATTTTGGCCTTTGTGTCTTCTCTGGTGTCTGTGCAGATGTAGTACTATCTTCAGAAGAACTTGTCCTCCAATCATTGTGCTTTCCATTCTGTTTTCCTTTATTTTTATATTTTTCATGGCCATGACCATGCTCATGTTTATGTCTATGGGCTAGGCCATGTTCCCTTTGATGTCCATGGCCATGACCATGTCCCTTTTGGTGCCCATCGCTTTGGTCATGCTCATGTTTATGGCCATGGCCATGCCCATGTTTTATTTGCTTTTCATGGCCCCAGCCATGATCACGAGTGGGTCCTTGTTCATTGTCTGAATCCTGCTCTTCATCTTGAACAGGTGCCATGGAAGTGTGGGGTGGACTTACAGTTGTTCCTTCTTTTGTTTCCGCCACTTGTACTGATCGGAAAGGTGAAAAACCTGGAGGTCTTTTCAGCAATGAGGTCTAAACAGGAAATATTAAGATGAATGGATTACTGTGGAAACCACACTCTCAATGAAGAAAAAAGGGACTGAGACCTGGCAATGCTATCTTGGTTTACAATGGAGCAAGTCTTTAGCCAGGTTTTAAATGCTATGTTAATACTGCAAAAAAGATGAGAATGAATATCTTTTCCTCTTTAATTGATTTTATAATTTGTGGATATTTCTTAATAATACTCCTCTAAACTGGAGAGGTTTTTCTTCATCTGGAAAAATTGGGAGGTTGAACTACATAATACCACGGCACATTATTTATTAATAGATACTGGTTCTATTAGCACAATTACAGTTTTTATACCAAAGACCCTAAATGGCTTTATGGACTGAATATATATGCAGCATATGCCCTCAATTATTTTGTTGGGCTGAAACACATTGGGACATGTTTACAAGCTTGAAAAGCAGCCTTTGTATAATGTCTGTGTTAGACTACATATATACCTATACAAGGCAAAAGTCTAAATCGGAAAAAAAAGACGAGGCAACTCACGTTCAAGCTCTGTATGATTTCTACCTACATTTCACTACTGGTGAGAACAGGATGCTGGAGGCAGTGTCAGTGGTGCAAAGAGCATGGTCTTTGAAGTCATATAAGCCAGAGCCTAGTTGTTAGCATCATGTGAACACAGATGACTTTGATTTGACCTACACTTGCATCCGTGCACCACTAGCTTCACTTTTCTCATCTCTAAAATAGGAATAACAGCAGCACCTGCCTCAGAGAGTTGTCAAGAGAAAAATATGTGTGAAGCCCTCAGTACAGTGCCTGGGACAGAGCAAGCACTTGATCATGTTACTACCCACTTCAGGATCTCATCATCTTTGTAATTTTTAGTGTCTCATCCTTAACAATGGGAAAAGTCTTACTTACCTCCCAAGATTCTCTTACGAATTGGAAAACATGATAAAAACCAATGCTTCTCACACTTGAATGTGGGTATGAAACCCTGGGGACCATGTTAAAATGCAGATTTGGATATATCTATACTTGTACATCACAGAAAGTTTTTTATGGCCGTCTGTATTTCTCCCAAGTCCCTTGGATGGAGGCAGATGTCAGAGAAGCATCTGAGGCACGTCTTAAAGCCCCAGAGCTAGTATTAGCTCTGCACAGCAGGGGCTGCCCTTTATTAAGAGAGAGCCTCCTGAAGGATGACAAAGGGTGAGAAGTGATTAGGGGACTGACTGTTGTTTTCCTTTCTAGACATAAAAAAGAGAGGTCAGCACAGAAATGTGAGAGTTCTCTCTATTCTAAAAAGATAGTCCCCCAATTCATTTAAATAGTGGTTCATTTTCAACCCCAAATAGGACTTTGCAGAATGAGCAAAATTTACCCAAGCTGACTAATTAGAAACATACCTTTCCTACTGATTGACATTTGACAGTAGGGTAAATTTTATTCTCCAAAGGTACCACATAAACATCAGCAGTGCATCTTAGAATTTCCTATCCATGAAAACAAAAGCCAAAATAGAGAACAGTGTTATTCATGAAATACTTAAACAAGTATAAAATATCAAGTAGATATACAGGGAATAAGTAGAGAGTTGCATGACTACTCACTCCATGTTTCTTGATCTCACAACTTTCAGTCAACTCTTTATTACTTTCCTTGGAACATGTGGTTTCCCTGGCCGTGAACTCAACAAAATATTTTGTTCCAGCCACCACCTGAAAAATGAATTAGCACAAAGTAGAACCTTCATTAATATTATATAATAAATGATATGTTTTTGCTCTAAGGGATCTTAGGGGAGAATATTAAAATTTTAATTAAACACTGCTCAAATGAGAGGTATACAAATAAAGTACAAATGTTTGACAACTAAACTCTTAGTTTGTATGCATGTGTAAAATGTTTGGCTCTTGGTTGGTCTTGTTTCCTTTTCTATAAAGAGAAACAAGGCCACAATTTTTATTTTTATACTTTTCTGATTTTTATTATTCAATAACATTCAAGCGCTCAAGTTGTAATAGATTCTAAGAAGAGTAGGAAGAAAAACTTAAACATTTTCTTTAAGTATGCCTTATTGTCATGCCAAGTCTTGAATCAGAGAAATACCGAGTTAGTGTCACTACAGAAATTGTGGGTTAAATAATGTGATTAGGAAAATTCTTTGGATTTTGTAGTTTGCCTCTCTTAATTGTCATATATTAAGAAACCATTTTAATCTCTATCAATAATTTTTTAAAATGGTTTTTTAGAGAGAGAGGAAGGAAGAGGGAGAGAGAGAAACATCAATCAGCTGCCTCCTGCAAGCCCCTTTCTCTGGATCAAGCCCACAATCTGGGCATGTGCCCTTACTGGAAATTGAATGCACAACCTTTTGGTGCTCAGAACGATGTTCAACCAACTGAGCCACACCAACCAGTACTCTAGCAACAGTTTTAATCTTTATACAATGCTGTGTCCAAAATGCATATTCTGTGGCCCAATTTATTTATTTATACTGTATAATAAAGAGCTAATATGCAAATTGTCATCACGCCCTCACACCCTCGCGCCAGAGCTGCTCAGACACTCAACACTGAAGAGAGAGGAATGGTGACCATCCAGGCACCAATGAGCTCGTGAGAGAGAAATGGGGATCTGCCAGGCACAAGTGAGGTCGCGAGAGAAGAATGGGGACTAGCCAGGCACAGATGAGCTCATGAGAGAGGAATGGGGACCAGCCAGGCTGTGGCCCAGAAGAGGGACAAGCCGCCTGCCCCATGGTCCCAGGTGTCAGCAACTGCTCCTGTGCCTGCGGCCTGGGAGAGGGACAAGCCTCCCGCCCTACAGTCCCAGGAACCTGTGGCTGCGGCCCAGGAGAAGCTGCCCACCAATGGTACCCTGTGGCTGCGGCCGGCCCATGTGAAGCCAACCCGGGTCCTGGGTGCCTGCGGCTGGCCAGAGGAAGGGAAGCCTGGGTCCCAGGTGCCTACAACCGGCCAGAGGAGGGAATCCTGGGTCCCCGGTGCAGGGTGGGGCAGAGGTGGTTAGGGGTGATCAGGCAGGCTGGCAGTGGTGGTTAAAGGCGATCAGGCAGGCAGAGGTGGTTAGGGGTGATCAGGCAGGCAGGCAGAGGGGTTAAGCGCAATCAGGCAGGCAGGCAGGTGAGTGGGTAGGAGCCAGCAGTCCAGGATTGTGAGAGGCAGTCAGACATCCCCCAAGGGGTCCCAGATTGGAGAGGGTGCAGGTTGAGCTGAGGTACACCCCCCTCCCCCCACCATGCACGATTTTCGAGCACTAGGCCTCTAGTTTTTATATAAAAGAGGCACACTTTATTTATTTAAAAAAAACTCATGCTTTTTAAAATGCACTTACTTCAATAAAATTGCACATATAGCTTTTTAAAGGTCATTTTAAAAATGCCATATCTTACATCTGTTACACTTAAAAAAATATACTTGGTAAAAATGACTTTAAATTGTATGTTAAAAAGTTAGTTGATATGGTGAATTTCTAGTCCAAGTTATTCAGTACTTAATTCTAGGATCTAAATATGTGTGTGTGTGTATGTGTGTGTGTGTGTGTGTGTGTAAAGAATACATGAATATATCAATTGACCTGGAGAGATGACTATTATTTTTTTTAAATATATTTTAATGATTTTTTTTACAGAGAGGAAGGTGAGAGGGATAGAGAGTTAGAAACATTGATGAGAGAGAAACATCGATCAGCTGCATCCTGCACACGCGCCCCCACTGGGGATGTGCCCCCAACCAAGGTACATGCCCTTGACCGGAATCAAACCTGGGACCCTTCAGTCCACAGGCCAACGCTCTATCCACTGAGCCAAACCGGTTCAGGCATGACTATTATTTTTATAAATGAAGTTACAGCCCTGGTTGGTGTGGCTCAGTTTGTTGAGTGTCATCCCATGCACCAAAGGGTCCTGAGTTTGATTCTCAGTC